GGTCCTGGGGAGGGTCTTTAACTCTCCGCCTGCTCTGCCAAGTACAGCTAATGCTTAAGGCAAGAGTAAAGGAATTTAAAATTGACTCTGGCTCTGGAAATTCTATTTCAGGGATGTCAGCAATTTCTAAAATTTAGTCTTTTTAAATGCTTTTTTGGGTGCTAATCTGTAATCTCCTTTCTTTGGCAATATTCTCATAGCCCTATTTTGATAGCCTTGTTCAGACTTCATTAATCATATGAAGTGATGACTTTCCTACTTTTCAGTGTTTAAGATGCTTCTAGGAATGTCTGTCTCTCCAGACCCTTGCCTGCTACATAGTAAGCCATTTTTTACTATGAAGAGTGTTGTAAGATCAAACACAGGCGTTACTGTGCTGACACTGAACACAGATATGGGCCAGGCAGACTTGATCTCCTGCAATAAGGATGGGGAGCAAACAGCCTAAGCAAAACCGAGAGAAAATGAAGCAAAAAGGGGAAACAGGAAGGTGAGGGATTAGAAGGGGGGCAGACAATTCATGAGGCCACCATAAAAGGGATGCATTAAGTGACCAAAGCAAGACCCCTAGAAAGGGCTCACATACGTGCACAGAGAACACAGAGGACTGTTCTCTCAAGTAAGAGGTGACTGAAGAAAGAGGACAACTTGTTAAGAGAAATTTCTAGACTGAGGTCGAGTCCAGGAAATTTGCTGATGTTTGAGTATCCATGAAGTAGGTTTCAACCTGCAACCAAGCAGTGGACCCAAGATCCCTACAAAACTAATACTTCTTCCCTGATAAGAATGAGTTAAAATAGCTTTGAGTAGGTATAGGAACAGAGAGAAATGGCAGTCTGGGAAGAGCCAGTTGGCTTATTAACTTGCGCTACCTAAAATAAATAACGTAAGATACTGTAATTATACCCCTGCAGGTAGATGCTCCCACAAGCTCCCTCCACCCTGCCATTGCTTTTACCCCAGGCTGATGATGGACATGTTCTGCCCCAGAGGACACTGGAGAGTAGGAGATCTCTGAAACAGTGAGGGGAACCCCCTTTCCACTGGATGGTGACAGCAAAGATAGACAGACAGATACACACAAACACACACCCCACTTGTCAACTGGTATTCCCCAGACTCTAATAACTAGACAAGATTAATTCAATTCCCATTCCATTGACTGGGAAATTTCCATGGTTTCTGTAACATTTATCGGTTCCTGGGGGGCAAGGAGGCTGAACCTCTTGGAGTCACTTCCAGCTCTGAGCTCCCACATACACTGAAATACTCACTTTAGGGAATCACTGTAGATCATCTCACCACCTCGATAGCATGGTCCCAATTCCCATCATGTTGACCCAGATATTGAATTCAACCCCTTTCCTTAATTTTCATCACCCCCAGTCAACAAAACAACAAAATAAATAAAACCATCACAGAGGTATCTGTGAGAATGGGAGCCTTTGTCAAAGCAATGGCAGGATGCACAAGACAGACATGCA